AATGTACAACTCAAAAGCCAACATGAGAGCTCACAAAAGAAAGTGTGTGTGTGCAATCCATGAGAGGTCACTGAGCTAGAGTTAATCCTAGTAGTGATCGGATGGCTGGACCTCCATCAAGAGTAACTCAACAATACAGAGAAAAGTCAAACCACTAGGAATCACGGGGTATTTGTTGAGTAAATGCGGAGGCTCCCCCTCAAGCAATGAGTCCCCTTTTTTTTTTATAACATTTTCTTTCTTGTGGGCACTCACTGGTGGCTTTCACTCTCAAGAGTATGGAAACCAAACCAGACAAGAATGAAATCATAAAGGATGGCCTGGTTGGTGCCTCTAAGGTAGCCTTTTCCTAATGCCCGGACTTCAAAGAACTGAGGGAGAAATTGTGGAAGTGAAAAACAGATGGTAGATGGTTAAGAGACTTAACATCACCCATGATATGCTAGTATCGGTCAATTCCACTGTAAAAGTACAAGAAACACTATTAGTGGTCCATAGAGAACTTTGATCACATATGCGGAAACCCCTGCAACAATTAATCTCAAGGAAGTGTACAGAATGAGATCATGAGGTTAATGAGTATGGGCATTCAAAATGAGCTATGACCAATGAATAATGAGATCTTGTAAGCAGCATGAGTAGTGTACATAAAAGTTGGATGCAACATCAATACTAGAGGAATCTTTGGAGATGTGAAGACTGGTGCTCATGGGAGTGCGTGCATGTTTGGCAGACTCAAGACCAAACTTAGACACAAGATTTTTCGCGTACTTAGACTGAGACACAAATATACCTGAAGGAGACTGTTTAATTTGAAGACCCAAAAAAAAATACAACTCTCCCACCATGCTCATCTCAAACTCATGTGTCATGCAATCCGAAAAATATTTCACAAGATGATCAGCAGTGGATCCAAACACAATATCATCAACATAAATCTGAGCAACAAGAATATGAGACTCAGTATGTTTCACAAATAAAGTCTAATCCATACTACCCCTTTGAAAGTCATTGTCAATTAGAAAGGGCGTCAACCTATCATACCAAGCCCGAAGGAATTGTTTCAACCCACATAGTGCCTTGTTTAGTTTGTGGACATGAGTAGGGAACTTAGGGTCCTCGAAACACTTTGGTTGCTCAACATAGGCTTCCTCTTTCAAGTAACCATTCAAGAATGCACACTTCACATCCATTTGAAACAATTTAAAGCCAAGAAAACAAGCAACACCAAGCAAAATACGAATAGATTCGAGACGTGCAACTGGGGCAAACGTCTCATCATAGTCAACACCCTCTACTTGTGTGTAGCCTTGAGCAACCAACCTAGATTTATTCCTAACAACTGTACCAGATTTATTTTTAAAGATCCACTTGGTACCTATCACATTCATGTCTCTAGGTCTGGGAACTAGAGTCCAAACTTTGTTACGTTCAAATTGACCTAATTCTTCATGCATAGAATTGACCCAACTATCATCTAGCAAGGCCTCTTTAAAATTTTTAGGTTCAATTAAAGAAACATAACACATATGTGATACCTCATCCCGAATCTGTCTTCGGGTTTTCATTCGATCCGATTGTGCCACAAAGATATATTTACTCAAGAATAAAGAAAGTAACAAATTCTTTCCAAGATAAACTCAGGAAAGGCGGCTATGGTGATGTGTATAAAGGCAAGCTTCTTAATGGACGTCTAGTGGCTGTCAAGCTTCTAAATGAAACAAAAGGCAGTAATGGAGAAGAGTTCATAAATGAAGTCGCAAGCATTAGTAGGACTTCCCATGTCAACATTGTAAGCCTTGTAGGGTATTGTTTTGAGGGTTGCAAAAGAGCTCTTATCTACGAGTACATGCCAAATGGATCTCTTGAGAAGTTCTTACACAACAACAAATCTCAAGAGACAAATGACGACTTAGAATGGAAAACAATGCACAAGATTGCAGTAGGGATTGCTCGAGGATTGGAGTGCTTGCACCGTGGTTGTACGACACACATTTTTCATTTTGACATTAAACCCCACAACATCCTTCTAGATGAAGATTTTTGTCTAAAAATTTCTGATTCTAGGCTTGCTAAATTGTGTTCCAACAAAGAGAGCATTGTATCCATGTTGCATGCACAAGGAACTGTTGGGTATATAGCACCTGAAGTCTTCTCCAAAAATTTTGGAAGAGTCGCACAAGGCTGACGTCTATAGCTATGGAATGCTAGTCCTAGAGATAGTTCATGGAAGGGAAAACATTGGCGAATCAGTTAAGCACACCAGCGACTTATATTTCCTACATTCGATCTACAAGAAGCTAGAATGTGAGGGAGATATAGGACTTCATGGGATTGAATTTGAAGAGGATGAAAAAGATGCATGAAAGATGATATTAGTCGGTCTATGTTGCATACAAGCTAATCCATCAGAGAGACCAGCAATTAACAAGGTGATTAAGATGCTTGAAGGGAATCTAGAATCTTTGCAAATTCCCCTGGAACCATTCTTATTTTCACCTTAAAGAACATCAATCGCGTCTTCTACTATTCAAATATCACAAGAGAATGAATCCTGTGAGGTTGAATCAACGTAGTGATGTTTTTCTAGGTCAAAAACATTGTGGACTGCAAAGCTTATGCAGAATAATATCATGTGAAGTAGATTCCTCAAGACCCTCAAAGTAGTGAAATTTTGTTTGAAGTTGCTATGTTAATTGCTGTCCAATTATGTCTTTGATTCTTCACTATGCATTGCTGCCCTAAATTTTTTCTAGTAAAAACAGAGCAAGATGTCTACTATAGTTGTAAATTTCCTTTTATTTTTCTTGTTACCCTTTTTTTTCTTCTATTACACAAAAGCTGCAATAAATCAATTTGAACAAAAATTAGAATTCTTTCCATGAACAAAACTTCGAATTCTTCTATTAGAAGGTATGAGGAATGCTAATGGACTGTGAGATTAGTCCTCAGATTAGTTGGTCCATTGGATCTAGATAGTGAGTTATCCAAAAAAACAAAAATGCTATCATGAATTCGGGAATGAACAAAAATTAATCTAAATCTCATCATCCTAGAGTCTACAGAAATTAGATTAATAGCTCTGCCACATTGATATGATTCTCCCCTTTCTATACATAACATAGTGAGCCCAAAATAGGATATATTTCTCTCTTTTTTTTTTTCTTTTTTTTTGTTTCTTCCCCCCTCCCCAAAAAAAGAAAACAAAAAAAATGATTGATTGATAATTGTTTCTTAGATATTCAGCAGCAACTGGATCTTGGATCTTACTCCTTTAACATAAAAAGTACCTCTAACATGATCAGCTACAATGAGATTAGCATTAGCATAGGAGAGAAAGCTAGTCTAAGAAGGTATGGAGTTCTGTTTGGGCTATGGGGTTAAGAGCCTAACCTCGAGACACAATGTCACAAGCCTATAAGAAGTTTCGATAAGGAACATCATCTCCAAGGACTTCGAAAGGCAGATGGGAGAAGGCGGCAAGCAAAATTGAGCCTTATACTGCTGGAATGCAGTTGGAGGAACTGGAGGTTGATAAGAAGAAAAATGCTGACCCTCGAAGAGAGTAAGCTTCAATTCTTCTATCCAGTTTGGGTTTTGAGGAAGAGGGAGTGCAAAAGGGTCCATCCCAAAAGAATGAGGGAATTGAGGGTCATTCACCATCTCCATCCAGTCAAAAGAACAATGTTTGGCCTTCTTAGCCAAAAATAAGGGACTGAATCCCAATGCTTCGGTTGGATGGGGGGTCTTATGCACTATTCTTGTTGGTAGGGAGAAAGTATACTATGTCGAAAGCAGGTTGTCCTCCAGACAACGGCGACAATCAATAGGTACGTAAGGATATACTACTGAGCTTTAGGAAGGAGGCACCAAAAAAGGAACGTCGAATTCAACGATTCTGTGATGAATCTTTTGGAGCAGATAAAGAGCTTTCAAGATCCATTTGTGCAAATGCTTGGTCCAAGGTTCGTACGGTGCAAAGGCTTCCATAACTTGTATAAATAGGGACAGATAAGTGTGGCCAATAAATGTATGAAGGTTCTTTCAAGGATGGTTGTCATTAGCAAACACCTCCTCGTATGCTCGATCAATGTAAGAGAAAGATTGATTGGCCATTGAAGGTGTATCTGTTTCCTCGTATTCGCAGATAATGGGTGTAATGAAAGAATTTAATGAAGTTCAGTGCTTCATTTTTAAGAAGACGGTTATGCTTCAGCTAGGTCCATGCACGTCTTAGGACGTGGATAGAGTGCATTGATCTACTAATACCACCAATTATTGGGTATATTAGTGTGGGAGTAATGTTGGCCACATATTTTGTACAAACCAATCGCAGCTTAGCACGTGGCTCGAAAAGGGTAATTTGGAAAGTTAATGCAAGTCTCCAACTAGTGATAGACAGGTGGCAACTCATATTGGTAATGGTGGGTTTGCGTCGCATGGAAGCAGTTAAAAGGCGCAAAGTGACTCAATGGTTACTCACAATTCAAATTCAAATTCAAGATGGAAGCCCAACTGCAAAGAAGGCGTCATTGGAGCAGAGTGTTCAGGGCAATAACCTGAGATCGTGGAAGTACGTTTCGACGGTTGGAAGTCCACTTCGAAGGTTGCCATCCTAAAGTATAAATAGGAGAAAAAGCCCCAGAATGAAAGAGCTAGACTCAGATCTAGAAATCAGTTTATTTACTTCATATTTCTTTCCAGTTTTACATTTCCAATTCTTTACATTTCAGCACTTCAATTACTGTACCGCACTTCATTTCGTAGGAGTAGTTTCAAGTAGTCGTTGTTGTAAACCTTTTCAAGGTTGGGTCATTGCATTGTAAGTTCCTGTTTATTTAATGAAATTCAGTTTCTGAATTGTTCTGTACTTGTTGTTCCTTATAAATTTCTCATGAAAGAACGATGGACCTTCTCCTTTTACTGTCGTCAATTCTGCCCCGTGGATGTTTACTGTTGCAGCTTCTACTATTGATCGCGATTTCAAGTCGACCATAGTCCTTGGAAATGGGAAAATTTTCCAAGTATGATGATATGAATCCATTTTTTTCTTCTTTATGTATTGATGGATTCCATGATGTTAAATTTCATATGTATTTGCATCTTTTAGGGATCTGGAATTAATTTCTCAAACCTCACTCGCTCAAAGACTTATCCTCTAGCATTTGCAGAAGAAGTTGCTTCTGATTTTGCACCATTATCAGATGCCAGGTATCAGTAAAATGTAATCTAATTTATCTTCTTATTTAACACCATTTGTGGAGAAATAATTTGTTGATCATTTGAAAATGCAGGAACTGCTATCCGGGATCTCTAAATTCAACAAAAGTAGCAGGAAAAATAATTGTCTGCACATATACTGAAGGAGCTATACCAAGGTCAATCAAAAAATTAGTGGTTGAAGGTGACAAAGCCGAAGGACTAATTTTGATCGATGAAGCTGAGAAAGATTTACCATTCAATTCAGGAATCTTCCCATTTTCTGAAGTTGGGAATGTTGTAGGGTCTCAAATTCTGAATTACATTAACTCTACCAAGTGAGTTATTATTTTTAATCATACTTATTTATAAAATCATTATTCTTGCTTACCTTTCTTTTTAAAGAATCTATATTGACAAATTTTATAACCATCGATTTAGGAACCCAACTGCAACCATACTTCCAACAACTGAAATTCGAAAGTGCAGACCAGCTCCTGTTGTTGCTTATTTCTCATCAAGGGGTCCCGGATGGCTTACACAAAACATTCTTAAGGTAAAATTTGTCACCCATCTTTCTTTTTTTTTCTTTTTTTTTTTCCTTTGATTGGCTACAATAGGGTTAAACCTTAATAACTGTTTGTTCTTTAGCCAGATATAATGGCTCCGGGTGTTGCAATTTTGGCGGCAACGATGCCAAACAAGGAAGATGGAAAAGAAAGATTACAAAGATAATATACAAATTACCCAACTCAGTCAATTTGTCTTCGAATCTTCTGTAACTCTTTCTCCACGACTTCGTCTCAGAACTGATCAATCCTGAAATTGATTCCACAACCTCACTTGTCGAATTAACGACTACGTATAAAATCAAACGCCTTTTGAAACTATACGCTTGAATCTTCGGAATCCACCGAAGAGAACTCTCTCTTGAATTTAAAGTAACCAACACCTTGATGTATGTATTTTAGATCATGAGTGAAGAACTCTTCTCAAAACATCAAGGAAAACTCATCAAAGCTTCAGAAGAAAACTTCAAACAAAACCCTAGGACTCTTGAATAAGATCTAGGAAAAGTTAACCTACAACAGACCCAACAAGCGAATTTATAGAATCTGGGATCGCGCGGTCCGCTCGAGCGTGGGAATTCCCGCTCGAGCGGAGGCTACAAAATTGTGTGATTCATATAGGCTTCACGCTCGAGCGTCAGTTTCCACGCTCGAGCGTCGAATCACACCATCCAGTACTTTTTCAGGCAACTGCAGAGATGCTAAGAGCTTCTAATCCCCGCTCGAGCGTCACTTTCCCCGCTCGAGCGGGAAGACCAAAATTTGAAAAACTGGAAAACTGAAACCTTTAACAACCTTGGTTTTGATCCATGGATTTTGACAACAAAGGATCCTAACAAGATGTATAGAACCTTTCAACGAGATAGTGCCTTTTCAACTCTCTCAAAAATGAATCTATTCCAAACATATATGCCATGGTTCCTTACTTCGACAGGGTACAAATATCTAAATTTGATATTTTTAGATACTTTTTCAGACCTATTGTCAATACTAATTCGTTTGGGATTTCCTGGAAAAAATCGTTGTTTTTTCTTCTGATTTCTTATAAAAGATATTCAATCTGTCAAAATAGAATTTAAAGAGGGTATTTATTCTCGTCGTGTTCTTTATATAGAAATCTGAGGCCAGGAGACCATTCCCTTGACTCGTACTGATGAGAATTTTACTATACGAGAAATTGAACCTTCAAACAATTTTTATTTTATCAAAACATTGGGCAGTAAGTACAACACTAAAAAACTTTTATTTCAAATCTATTATATTTTCTAAAAGTTATGAAGAGTGCTTGTTTATATATGTATGCATTTGTTTGTTAATTTCCATGGGTTGGGCGGATTGGAGCATGTAGTGGCTCTAAAGTTTTATTAATGTAATAAGTTGTTGTGAAATGGTAAAATTTTTGTAATAATGCATTTGTATGCATGTGATTTGGTTTGGGAAAATGAGGGCTGGTGAGCCATGTTTTGACATTATAAAGAATTATCAAGGAATGCATATCCCGGTCAGGACTACTATGGGGTGAGAACAGTTATACTTACCGGGTGTGCGGAATTTTAAGGGTGTTACCTATTTGATCTTATGTGCATGGTAGAGATTTTGATCTATTGTCGTGAGAACTCCTCGAGAGGATGTGAAGTGTGCGATTAACACTAGGTGTTGTATATTTAACATGATGTTTTACGGAGGCATAACGCATAATTTCGTTAGGAATGGACTTGTACCTTCATGGTAGGTAACGTTGCCGTATCTGCATACATACTGATTGCTTGTTTTATTTGAGGGAGTGTTTGTTCCTTATTAAGATTATGGTTGTTGGCATCGAGGAGTGGTGTGTTGTGAGCAGCTGGTGTTATATCTCGGGTAGTAGTATAATGGATGTTCTCTAAGTTTCAGGATTCTTTTACTATGTTTGAATGCATTAGGTGTGTACCTTAATGCTGGTTAGGTCGGGAGATGCTATCGGTAAGGTTGGTTGGGTGTGTAACCCGTGGTTAGGGTATGACCTGTGAGTAGAGTCACAGTGGTATGGTGTTTGCGGATGAAGGTTTGGGATAATAGCAAGGAGGGTGAGGACTCTTACTCTTCTGGAGAGTTAGGATGGTGAGTCTTTGAAAACCTTGTCGGTGACATGCAATTGTACCGGGGTTTGGTTCAAGGCAATTGGTCAATAGTAGTAATGGCTAGTTGTTTGGCACGGAGACTTAGAGTCTTGATTGTACCCTCGGGACGAGTGTCAGATAGGATGTGGTTACAGATAGAATCGAGTGGTTTGGTATTTGGTAAAGTTGGGTCACTTGGGTGTAGGTGTCGTAGGGTAACTTTGAAGAATCCGGAGCAATCTATTAGACCTAGGAGGTTGTGCAATCAATCGGTGTCTTGATGTGGGATGTAACCTCCACACGGGCAGTTAGAAAGTTGTTTTGAGTTGTGGTAATCGGTTTGGAAGTTCGGTTGAGAACTTCGACCCTTTGAGCGCTTTGTGCCATTTTTGTGATTGGGGGGTGTGCAATTTCACCCTTTGTGTCGTTGCGTAGTTGGAAATTTCAAAATTTATTGGGGTCCCTATCATGAAAGTTTTGTTTTTGGTATTGTGTCATCACTGTGAGTGTGACGGGTTTTGTGGGATGGCTATGTTGTGATTCACTAGAGGGACATTGAGTACTCTTCATAAACTAAAATGATTTTTGGTCGAAACATGAATTTGCAATCCTTATTCTTCGGGAAAATAATTTGAAAGATCTCTGAGTTCGGCTGTGGCCAGTTGTAAATGACGTGCTTAAGTGGTGGCGGTATAAGTCTGAATACTTTTTGGGAAAACGGAGTGCTTTGAAACAAATGGAACAAATAAAGCAATTTCTTTAACATAGACGGAGTATCTTATGAGAAGTTAGATTTAACCTAGCCTGAGTTGCTGGTTACGTATTGTGTGTCTTTGGCAAGATCTTGAAATTTTGGGGCATTAACGTGCCATAATGTTATTCATTACCCGTGCTTTGTTTTACGTCCTCGTTCTATGAAAGTTGACCGGAAGCCTTGTGTACGAATGATTTCGTGTTTCCTATGTTGGGGTATTAAGCACTCAATACTGGTTTGCGTTTTGTCGGTGGTCGAGGCGTGGTGGATGTCTCAAAACACTGTAGTGGTTAAATGTGTCGTACTGTTATCATTGTTATTGAGTCTTGCAGAGCAGGACTTTTCTATTAATTAAGGTGTTGTGGAAACATCACGGGGTTGAGGAAGCCACTTGGGAACGCGAATTGGAGGTCCGAAAAAAAATATCTTGACCTATTTGTGGATGCTTGAGCCTATGTTGAGAATTTCGTTTTGTGATAAACTCTAAGAACATTGTACATGTTTCGGATCATGGAAGTATTGAAAATTGTTGCATATGTTTCAAAGAAATGAGTTTAATTTAACATGGTATATGTTGAATGTATTGTAGAAATGGAACTATATTTTTAACATTGCATATGTTATAGAATTGTGGAGCATGTGTATTGAAAATTGGTTGAAATTCAAAAGAATGCATGTTTATAATGCCTATTGAGCTACATTTGTGAAGTCATTCCCTTGAAAAGAGATGGAATGATCGGTAGAGGATCATGTCGATAACTGTTGTATTGTAATCATGTGATAATTGAAAAGATCACAATTTTTAAACTTGTATATCTAATTTCGGGGACAAAATTCTTTAAGGGGGGAAGGTTATAGCGATCCCGGTTTTTCCCTCTATTGTTTATTGTATTCCGAACTTGGTTCCGTGGATGTATGTTGTTGTCTTATTCTTGTTTCCATCCTTTGATTCTCTGTATTTGATTCTTGGGGTGTGTTGGGCAGGTTCGAAACAGGTTGGTTGGGTGTTGGAACAAATGGTTGCTGTCTAGTTTGCGGTTTCTTCGCTTGAGCGAGGACTTTGTTGCTCGAGCGAGCCTTGTGTTTTTCCTTCTTCGCTCGGCCGAGGGTTTGTACGCTCGAGCGAGCATTGTGGGTCTTTAGGTTTTCTTTTCAGAAGCAGCTTTGGCTCGAGCGAGCTTTTCTTCGCTCGAGCGAGCTCAGTTTGGTGTGTCTCTTCACTTGAGCAAGCGGTCCTTCACTCGAGCGTGTGTCTGCTTCTCTTTTGGACCTGAAGGTTGTGTTTCTTGGCTCAAGCGAGCTTTCCTTCACTCGAGCGAGCAGGGACTATGTTTTGAGTTTCTTCACTCGAGCGAGGACTCTTGCACTTGAGCGTGCTTCTGGGTTACAGACTTGAAGCTTCGTGTTGTTCGCTCGAGCAAGGCTTTGTGTGCTCGAGCGAGGTTTGTCTGTGTCTGGTCGCTCGAGCGACCACTCCTTTGCTCGAGCGAGCCTCGAGTATATCAGTTGTAGCAGCGTGTTTCTTCTTCACTTTTTCATCTCTTTTTACTTCCAAACCCTAGATCCGACTCTCTTTCTCTCTCTACATACACCTTCTCTCTACAAATACCCTTGGTTCTTGGGTGTGTCTACCCTAATCTCTTTGTAAGAAAGGTGGAGCTTGGTGCGGGCTACACTTTGATCCGAAAAAGTTGTACTTTGGATCACTTTCGAGTTTCTTCATCTTCTCCTTTGGGATCTTAACTTCGAGGTAGGGATGATCTACTCCTTCTTATGAGTTTTAACATAAATATTAGTCATTTAGTATAGATGTTGAGATTTGGTGATTTAGGAAGCTAGGGTTTGAGATTTGTGTTATATAAAAGAGGGGTTTTTTATTTTAAGTTCCATATGTATATGAGGTCTTGAAAATGAGGTTTTGTGGATTTGATAGGTGAGATTTGGTTTTAGGATCAATGTTTGAGAAAAGGGAGAAAATGCCTAAATTGGATTTAAATAATTAATTTTTAAAATTAATTTGGTAATTGTGAGGAATATGAAATTGATTTGAATATAATGAAATTGGATAGAACTGGGATTAGTTGGTGTAGTCGATTTGATAACTCACTCACCTATGAAAATGTGATAATTTATCTG